ATATATATATATATATATATATATATATATATATATATATATATATATATATATATATATATATATATATATATATATATACAAGTCCACGAAACTGAAAGCAATAAGGCGTTATTTTATCAAAATAAGAGAGATAAGGATGAGTGATAAAGGATAAGCAACGAGTGTACTTCATAACTTTAGTACTCTCGTAATAAAAATATTATTATTTCTGTAAAGCAGAACCAAATGCGGTAAAAACACTTGAAAGAAGTTATACACTTTAGGAGCAATGGTCGGAGGAAAAAGGTGCAAAATAGTTTTAAGCATCACAGATTTAACATTGGCAGAGGAGTAGTTCCTTATACTGAATTTTTACCGCAGAGTGTAGGGAAAAGCGGGAGTTCCATCCTCTCCTACTGCTGCTACACCAATTAAACTTCTTGGGATCAGCATCACCTTAAATTATACTCATAGCACCGATCATAAATTGATTGCATCAGGATTTTGTTATTTCGTAGCGCGTCCCTGAATCTCTTGTTACCGTTATGCTTTCTATTCTGCAGGGATTTTCGCTTCCTTCTTTCTTTGCACTATGTTTATGGTGGGTTCGGTTGGGTTTGTGGTATCGATATTGTCTGATTAGTTTAGCTACATCGCAGATGTTCAGGTGAACAGTCTAGAATCATCTTCATCTTATTAGCTGGTCAATTCTATCAGTTCTAGAAATCAAAGCATATGCGGAGGTGCGGATAATGGCACTATCAGAAGAAGTGATCGCACGACGACTTAGGGCTGTCGATCAGAGTTCAGAATCCATCCAAACGACATCCATGTGGATACTGCATCATCGCGATTTAGCTGCACAGTTCGTGAACTGCTGGACTGAAGTATTCCGAACTGGTAAAATTCTTAAATTTATTTTTAGTGATTTAGACAGGAGATTCCATTTATGACTACCATTTTATTAATAGTTTTTCGTAAAACTCAGATTTGTAAATTTCTATGAAATAAGGTGTAGTAGATGAAGAATGTCTGGAGCTTACTGTTTTAAGAGCCTCCAAGTTTGTTTCTCCACAGTATTCCACGGTTCGTAAGGCCTAAATAACAGGTGAAATTATTACAAAACAGTAAATATTCCTGTGCAGTTTCCACCATTTCTTCCGCTCCAACATTGCAAATTATTTAGTTCCTCTGGCGTTGTTCTCCTTTGGAGTATCCCAAAACATCGTTTAATGCTAATATTCATCCAGAAGAATTGCAAGTTTATGAATATATTTACTGCATCAAATCACTTCGGTTTTATCTAACTTCCCAATTCAGTCTTTTCTAGTTTCACCACTAGAACGGGACCTTCGCTAGTTTACCACTTCCGCTAGAACGGGACTTTTCATTGGTCTCAGTCTTTCCTGATGACCATAATCCTAAGACTGTTCCGTCCTGTAAGTGGGCGCTATAGTCAGGAAAAAGGAATGGTCACTATTAATTTTTCTTTTTTAATCTGAGGTATATATATCTCGGAGAGTTTTGTTCCATTTTATTTGATAATCTCACTTTCCTTTAGATCTGTTCTTAAAAGTTTTTATATTATCATGTAGTTCTTTCCCAGTCCCTCAAGTTGTACGGAATCTTAATGGCATCAGCAAATGACCGAGGTGTTGACACTATACTGTTGCAAAAGACAGGAGAGCTGTTACACATTAGCGATCACCTGTTCCATCCTTTTCTTACCTAATTAATTCATTGTAGCTTGAACGCACTTCTGTAACTCGATTTTTTTGACGTATCAAGCATGCAAATTGCAAAGATAGCACGAGTACTACTGTGACAGTATTACTGTAGCAATAGTACTCTTGCTGTCTTTGCAATTTGTGTTCTTGCAGCTGGCGATCCTTTACAAATTGCTCTGTTTTACGTAGCAAATGATGTTTGTCAGAAAGCGAAGAAAAAGGGCGATTCACATGTCTTGCTTCAAGCATTTGCACCTCACTGGGTCAATGCCATTTCGTATTCCAGGTATTTTTGTCTTTGAAATAAATTTTAAAATGATTTCAGCTTACTTAAAGACGTTTGCAAAATAATTTTGCAGTTTTTATTATTGTTAGATCATCAGATTAAAATTTGAGCTTTGTGGTATTGTTCCAAATCCACTTTTCTCTCGTTTCATTTTCTCTCTGTTTTATAATTTATAACAAAATTTGTTATAGAATATAGTATTAAGTTGTTATAGAAACATTAAGGCATTTTGGTCATAGCCGTTCTGAACTCTCTTTACATATAGATTTGCTTCCCATTGATTTTTATTTCGAGTTGATCTTATTACAATTATTTCCAAGCAATAGAGCCAACTGTGTAATACTTATATACATTATATTTTGGGGAAGAAATTAGAGTTCTAGGAATCGGTAAGCACATCATTGTGGAGTTCAGTTAATATTAATCATTTTTCTTCCAATTTTAGAGGTAGTGAAAATGTTCAGAAAGCTGTTAGTAGAATACTTGATATATTCGAAGAGCGTCAGATTTATTCAAAGTCGCAGTTAGCTGATATGCGTGCTGCACAAAGTAAGTATTAAAGACATTATCATATTGTTTTTCGGTATGTCGTTATTAGAACCTTGCTGTTTTTTTGCTTACTATCAGCAGTTAATTGCCATTCAGTTATTTGCTTTATCCTGCTTCAAATGACATGATATTTGCTATAGGAAACTATAAAACGTTTTTTCACCTAATTTAAAACTAGGACATGCAGATTTGCTAGCAGTCTTTTAGTAATTTTAGTGCTAATAATCTTTTGGTTTTCTCATTCAAATTCACTTTACCTTCAAATTTGTTAAATAACTAATTCAGATGACAGCAATGAGTTGGAAGATAATACACTAATTGATTTCGATATTGGATACTTAATACGTGACGTTGAGGGTTATCATAAAGGAAATTTGGTTATGGAACGCGCACGAGAGTTACTTTCCAGAAGCGATTTCAATTTTAAGGACAAGATAAAGAGTCGGATGAAAGGTAAGGTGAATTTTCAACATATATTAACCTTGTGAACTTTTTTTTTTCTTGTTCAATTAATTATTCAAGAAGTTTGTGGTTGCTGACGCCATGATGAAATGTTAATTCCAAGCTATAAGTGAAGATATTCAAATAGTCAAACTAAAAATGCATTTTAATGAAATTCAAATAAGGGAACTACGTAGTTTATTTTAAAATTTCAATGAAATTAAAATTTTTTGTATTTCATAGATCGTCGAGATGGTGAGAAATTCATGGGGGAAATTGAACAATCTTATACAAAGCTGACAGATTTTTTCGGCGCATTAGCAAAGCACCGCAAACGTGGACAGCATCTTCTGGGTGAAATTGAACGAGCCAAACGTTGCTTCACTTTGCAGCTAAGAGATGTGACTGTTGTAGAAGATGTACGTAGTTCATTTTTTATGATAAGTATGATGCTTTTTGTAGAGAAGTATTTCAAGCCTCAATATTGTTTGCATTTTATCGACAATTTATACTTGAGTTAGCTACAAATTTTAAATGTGATTTTGGCTAACGTTATAGGCTATATTTTTTTTTAGGCTTACCAGAAATTTGGTGCTGGGATTGATGAAGTTTGTGCAGAAGTAGAAGAAATGTTAAAAACAAGTGTTTATCCAGGTGCTTCGCCTCCACGTGATGCTCCCTCACCAACAGCTAATGATGATCCATTTAGGGAGGGAGTCGAAATTGCGTTCAAACGTAAGTTTTGAGACTTCAGTTCCTTCGAATCCCTTATGGAATCCATTTTCTTTTTTCATACGATATTGAATTTTAAGTGATCTTCTTGTTTATCCGCTATATCCTGTGTCCTAATGCAAACAATTGTAGAAATGAGAGGACCACAATACGGCACTAGCTCACTATTGCCATTACCAAAATTGTTACCCACTAAGGAGGAATCTGTTGTTACACCTGGTATACATTTAATTTTTTTTTTTTGCGTATCGAACTTGAAATTTTGTTTATTTCGGATAAAAATAATGCCACTTGTTATCTTCTTCTATTCCTTCAGATATTTTCGTTTTTGTTTTAAGAATTTTGCAAAGGCAACTGTTGATAATACAAGCTTTCCTGTATTCGTTGGTAAAAAGAATTTTAGATTCACTTCAAACCGATCAATCATTCAGCGGTTCAGCGCATATGCTGAAAATGATAGAAGGAATCCGGGCAAGTGAGGTGACTTTTTTCTTTGTGTTTGTATTTTCCTTTTATTTTACTTTTATATTCATTGATCAACTCGAAAAATGCCTGTATCACCCAACAGTATCAAATTATGCTATGATAAAATAACAAATCACATTCCATAGCTTTAGGTCTAGTTCGTGCACAACAGGATCGCTGTGGCCATTGTGGCTAACAGGAAATTTCACTGGGGCTGCGTTATGTCAGAAATATTTTAGTATTGTAGGACCGATTTATTTCTTATTCACTACTGCATTTGTATTTTTTCGGCCTACTGAACACTCACCGAACGATAAATTCTCAAACAGAATGTGTTTTCAGACATCTAGAACAAATTCACCGTCATCAGTTGTGTCCGATCCACGCCTTGCATCTCATCCACCATTCCCTTCAATTGTTGGCTGTCTATCGTCAGCTGAGTCTACTGCTACAGTTACTAGTTCATCCTTTTCACTGCTTTCACAAGCTCCTTCATCTGCTTTGGTATTTTCCTCTGGTCCTCCAAATGAACCTCAAGTATCTCAGATAACACCGTTTCAACTCGTTAGTTCACCGCTTCCCATACGATCACCGATGCAAGATACGCAGAGGCTGCTATCAAATGGCACTCTTCCACAGTGGATGCAAGATTCGTCGTCGAATTTTTCCGCATCATTGCCCACTGCTGCACCAGGGACTGTGGTAGATGTTACATCCGTTTCCGGCACCACAAATTCCCTGCAAACACCAATTATTTCTAGTCAACTGCATGGTAGCCAAACGGCAAGCACAACTGCATTCCCTCCCATTCTTGGAAGCCAGCTATCACCGGTAAACACCAATTCACAAATCGGACCATCCTCACAACCTACCACACTTCATGGGATATTGCCACCACCGCCACCGAATGTGCTTCCATCGTTGGGAATAGTGTCATTAAACAATTTTGTACCTGCCGCAGTGCCACCTTACACTGTAATGTCCGTAACTTCCGCCCATTCACCTGCAACGATTCCATTTCCTCCCGACTCTTTCGCAATTCCACCTCCAAAACGTATAGTTATGCCACCAACAAATTCTCCAAATATACGTCCACCTTGTGTTATGGACTTACTACCATCTGGCAATTTTCCTTCAACCACTAGCACTTTTACTCCAGCTACTCTAGTTTCATGTACATTTTCCTCGCCGCCATCGTCAAGCTCTAGTTCTACTGCAGTAACTCCTGCCATTGCTCTAGTTTCCAGAAGGCCGTTAACAAATGGTGGCGACAGCAATAGTATTGTCGATCCAGCAAAAGTTAATGGTGATTTATGTCATGAATCGAGAAAGCACTTTGGAAATTATGGTACCACCTTGAATAGCCATGGAGACCGCCGGTCGTTTGGAGGGTTTCGTGGAGGCGATGACATTGATCATGGAAGTCTACGAGATCCGCGTGCGCGCGATCGAGACCGTGAATACAATGGTAATCGAGGATTGCAACAGCAGCTTCATAATAACGGTGGTAGGCGTTATTCTAGTGACAATCGTAATCGTATGCCTCGTTACAGAGATTATGATGATGATCGTCGCTCTCGACGTTACGAACCGCCATACAATGATTTTAGTCGTATTCGGAGATGAATAATATTAAGATTTTATTATAATGGCGCAGAACTCTGATTTAATTTTTCCGTTTTTCAAAACATTCGAAATGCGAAAACTTGGGCCAATAAGTGGAATTTTGAACTGATTTAGAGCAGTGTAATTTTGTAGTGTATTTATTCTTTCTAATATGTTTTGTGTAGTTTCAGATGAATTTATCGTTTGCTCTTGTTTGAATGTAAAAGTTCAGTTCTGGATTCCAGGGTTGTATTATTGGTTATCTGTATATATTTTTCGGTGTTTGTTCTTTTCACATCTCGGATGGTGGAATTTACATTATTTTCCTTTATTATTTTAACTTAGAATAGTGTATAAGCCGCTCCATTATTATTTAATCTTACAGTCCATCATCTGTTGTTTCAAGATATATTTTCTTATATCGTTTATTCGCTCCCTCTTGTTCCATTGTTATATTCGAATCTCTTCACATGAACGGTGATCTGCTATTAGTAGGTGAGCTTTTGCTGTTCGTAAATGTTTCTAGCATCGATGGAATCAAATTACAGGGAAGTGAAGTTTGTAGGATACGAGATGAATACGAGTTGAAGGTTTCAGTATTGTGCATAAAAGCATTTGTTATAGGGCAATATAGTCTGCATTGTAGGCCAGCTGATGTTGATAATGAACAACATATTTAGTTCTCATTGTTTTTTTTCCCTGCATTTGGGGTCACGTTAATTCTGTCTCTTACCTGCAGGAGTTGAATCGGCAAATAAGATATTTAAGTGCCTAAATGCTGTATATCTTATTCTAATCATGAGTGACAATCAGACGAGTTTACCAAGATTCAGCAGTTGGCAGAAAGAAAGCTGCAGCATTTTGGTCATTTTTCTGTTTGCAGATGCGCTTCTTGAATCAAATGATGTGGAACTGGAAGCATTGTAAGAACATTCATTTGTCCTACTATTCTCTAAATGCTGAAGAAATTTGTCGTTATTAATTTCCATTCCTGATATCTTCTTATTCTGGATGGGTTATCAGTGACTGTTGCTGTTGTTTGTAGAATGTTTTGTCGTCATTAAATCTCATTCGTTCTATTTTAGTTTTTTTTCTGGCTTGTTAGGGAGGAGTTGAAGTCAGTGAGAGGGTAGAGTGCGTGTAGCTTCAGCAAAAGTCTCACCCGGGTAAGGTGGAAACGCCAGATGCAATTTGCAACAAAATGATTTCGTAATCAATTTTTTCCAAGATTCACCTTTCACTGACGGAAATTCAACTTTTTCAAAATTCAGTGGGTTGAGAATGCATTATTTGATAAGAAGTGTAAAATATGGGCAGAAAGCGGAAGTTTGTTAACAGAAATTCGAGCTTTCATCACTGGGTGAGTGGGCGACGTGTGTGGTGGGTATTATGCTACAACGGGTGGGGATTTTGAATTGGCGCTTTAGGGCCCTGGATTGGTATTGTGCCAAAAGTTTGCTTATTCACTTTTAGTTATATTGCGTAATTTTGATGCTCGTTTCCTCGTTGTTTGGACAATCCTCGAATTCGTTTACTGGATTGGACAAGAATTTCATTTCAGGTGTTGGGATTGCAACATTGCTAGCACAAATTCGTCGCGAAAGAGATACACTTCTCATCCTTCTGCTGTACCGGTAAGATTGAAGTGTTTCTTGGTTAAATAAGGAATAAAAGGACAGTTTTCAGTTATTTTAGAGTTAGCTGATTCGTACATTCTGGAAATAGCTGAGGTGTTTACATGAAGAAGCGATGTTCCTAACCAATTTAATTTTTCGTGAATGTTGTTCCCAGTACTCTTTCACTTCATCACTATCTACTGTTCTCTTTAATTAATTCGGTGGGTGCATCACTTGTTTTCGTTACTTCCTCCTAGTTTTTGTTCATCAGAAGGAATGTCCAAGACTGTCACATGGAGGGAGGTGGGTAATGATCTCTTTTTATTCAGTGTTGATCTCTTTTCATTCAGTGTTTCGCAGCAGAAAAATAAAGACACAAGTTGTCATGCACAATTAAGAGAAAGGAAAAACATCATATTCAAATTGCACAAGCTAGCGCAATACTTAGCGGTTATCCTGTACCTCCAGATGTGGAGATTTCAAAGTCAGATCATATTATTGATCTGATTAAACTTCTGTAGTCATAATTTGTAGTACTATTCACCACATCATTATCAGTTAATCAGCAAAGTTTATTTTTGCGCAGATATGCAAACATAATAGATTTGGTTTGTAACTGAGGACCAAATGGGTTAGAAATCTGCTAACTGGTGAATTTAAGTGTAAATCAGAGTTCGAAATAGAATATTTTCTTATTAATTCATGTCTTCTTATTTATAGTGAACCATCAAAATGGTTTGGCCGTTTAGTTCGACAAGGCCTACGGCATCACCATCGCCTAACTTATCAAATCCAGAAACACAATCAACTTCGATATCTGATTTAGCAGTAATGGATTCAGTAGTATCTGAATTAGGTGACACATTGGGTTCTGACAGAGATAGTATGAGTATGGCTGGTTTGGATAGATCTCCGATATTTGCATTAGATCAGTTGAAGCAGGCTGGTGTACCGTTTGAGAAACAGTTATCGCCTTACCTGCAAATGGATCCAACCGTTTTCCGAGAATCCACACCTCAGTAAGTTTCAAAGTGTTAAATACGCTTTGTTTTCCTCTTTGGTTCTTTTTTTTCGGAAGAAAACTTAAGTTGTAAAGATCTAAAGGAGTTAACGATGTCCTTTCGAAAGTTTTTTTTCCCCTTTAATAGTGTCACTCGACATGTAATCTATGAAACTAATTTACTTAATCAAATGGAGGGATTGTGGAGAGTAGCACGTGAAATTGTGTTTGCAACAAAGAGGTATTTAATTATTAACGACTAATAATATTACATAATTTCATATATATTGTTCCTGGTGAATCGAAAGGAGAATTAGAATTTGCAATGGGACGGATTGGATGGGCTGTTTTGGGTGGCTATACATTGGGAAGTCTACGCGGTATTTTACCAGAATTGCGGAATCCTGATACGAGGCAGTTGGTGAGGATTGGTTTCACTTCATACAGCTTTTTTGTAGTATGTACACTTCATATTTCTAATATTCTCTTTTTCTAGACTTCTGTGTTGAAAAAAAAAATAGAAGTACAAGAAGCTTTTACTTGATTTTTTAAATTTTAAGTATGCATATCAGTTATGTTTCATTTAGCCTTTTAAACCGTTTATGACGCGTTTGATGAATTCCTCAGTAAAACATGGTAGTGGTTTTGCTCATCCAGCCGGTTCTATTGTTTTTATGTTCTCTGTTGCTGATATGATTTTTGGAAAACTACGTGCGAAAGATGATCTTAATGCTGTTGGTAAGGTTTCAACTATCAATTTATTTTGCCTCTTGATACCTTGATAATCGTAACTGCTAAGTGTTACTAGCACTTTGGAATTTCAAAAATGTTACATTGGTACGGATAGTTAATTCTTCAACTGTAAATTTTTTTAAATTACGATAAAATCCCAATTATGGTGTTCTTAGCTGCTGGTGCTGTTACTGGAGGACTATTTCGATGTGCACGTGGCTTACACGCCTCAATGGTTGGCGCGGGTGTTGGGACAGTCGCAGCTTTTATTTGGCTCCTGAGTGATCAAGATAGTCGAAATAGGTTATGGGAAATGCGAAAATATTTAACCGGCAAACAGGGTTATAGTTACTGACTCGAATTTTAATTCCATTTGTTAGAATCGACGGTTTGTTTACAAAGTTTTAATAGTTTGTTCTGCTATTAAATAAGTTACTGGCGTATTGGTAAAACAATGACCAAAACTTAATATACTTTCAAACCTCGAATTTCTACAATGTTTGAAAAATTGAAAAGTTTTGATCATTATTTCAATTTTGTGTTCCAGAGTAGCTAGTGTTCTTTTTTGAAATGAAGTAAATTCTTTTGTACATGATCAGTGCTTTATTGCTTCATTTTTTCATGAAAGAACTTTGATGTTTTTTGTTTATCTTTTTTTCTTGATATTTCCTTGCCAAAATGTTTTTTTTCTTTGAAATTACTTTGTGTGGGACAAGTGGACAAGTGGTCAATCACTCTTCATAATATAACGATACAGGATCTCAATCATGCTATAACATAGTAAGGCATAGTATGATTATGGGTTTCATGCTTGATGGAAGAAGGTCTCTTTGTTTGTTTTAAATCATTTTAACTGCAAAGTGGGAATTCACTACTTTTTCCTTCTACACTGTCTTGAAAAGAATTTTTAATCGATATATTTCGATGAAAAATGTGAAATTTATGGTGAAATTCATTGCAGATGATGGGTTCCCGAAAAATAGATAATATGGATGTCCTCAGTTGTCAGCCTTCTAACTAACCTAATTTATATATAATGGCTTGAAAAAGAATTTTCTGGAATGTTAAGATCTCTGTTGGAGGAAGTTAAGTGACAGCAAGTTGGTAATTGTAGTGTTATTCTAAAGACAGTATTGCATAATGCAATAAAAGCGCTAGCGTGGAACTGCAGATATGTCGAAAACCGCAGTCCCAAATGTGGATATGGATTTTGGAAGGTCGATATGCTTTTCCGCAAAAATTTGCTCATTGAAGCGAACATATAATACAAGATTTTGTTGTCAGGCAGTTTCACATAAGGAGTGGTAGGGCCGAAATTGGTCACTGTTGCGGTTGATGGCAGAACAGGCCAATGTTCTGGAATTAGTAATCATTCTTCGCTGGGGACCATAAAACACGTGAAATTTGGCATACCGCGAAAGAATGTATATTGCATAGTCTCCGACGATTAGATTTTGGAATTTTGTTGAGGATTTGTAATTGGTTATGTTCAGTGCTTCATGTGAGTTGAATAAAGTGCGAAATCAGTGGTATGAATCCTCCTGATGTTGATTGCTTACATGTCAAACCTTATTGTTGGTGATAACAATGCCTGATAACTAGTTCACGACTAAAGTTCGTTTTATTTCCTAAACAACACATTGTTTACACAACAGGGATGCATTCTTCTTACCTCTTCACAAGGAGAATGGCATCAACCGTTTGTTCTATGATTTTTCAGATGTAAACTGATGGAATTTCAGTTAGCATGGATTTTCGCTACTCTTCAGATGCGAGGAGTGAAAATTCATTTAAAATTGCATATTTCTACTATTTCGTTGGGGTGAATCTGGATTGCATGCTTTGATGAGTCTGGATTTATCTTCAATCTTGCTGTTTTTACTGCTCGCAATCTTTAAAATCATTGGAAGATATAGCAGTCGGCGTTAGCTCTTCCGAAGTAATATGCAAGCACATTGAGGATTTATAAACTTTAGTACATTAGGAGACGTACTATATATAATGCTCAAATGTGGGATGAAATATCATTTCAAATTCCGCCATTTAATAAACAAAGCTAAACTAGTGTTGCATGCAAACATAGATACATCGTATGTCTGTATTGGAATACTTCCGGAAAAATTGATCGCACAATAATATGGACCGCATTCAGTTGCTAAGGATTAATTCGTGGATTGCCTCATGTCAATTTGCATATTTGTTTGATGGTTCATATCATTCACATCAACTAAAGGAGAATTCTTTTTGGATAGGTTAGTTAGTATTTGCATTAAGCGTGTTGTTGATAGTTTGGTTCGTACTGTCATAAGTCCAGTTAGCTGGATGAAACGGACGCGTTTTGTTTATCAATTCTCCGTGCTTCTTGGATTCATGTTTTGCCTTCCTACTGAAACAATACATATCACTGTTACACAACGTTTGGCTCTCTCTACTCAGTCCACACAAAACAGTCCCATAAATTGAATTTGATTTGTTCACATAATCATCGCTTCCATAAGTGTTGCGAGTAGCTCTTCCATATTCGTTGCTATTCCAGACTAATTGGTATTCATGTATCCGTGTTGTTTAATGCAAGCGCATCCACCTCCCAACTGTGGAGTGTTTGGGAAGTATTGACCCTGATATGCGTTCGTGTCAAAAGTAATAGGCATATTGTTTCAAATTTCAGTTTACGGAAAGGTTGCACATGGATGATGATATTGTTGACGTTTTGGTTGTTTCAGGCGTTGCTGGTATTGGCTTTATAGCTTTGACATATCTTATCGCTAAGGTTCACTTTTTTTTCCAAGCAATCTAACTGCAATGACTTCAAATTCCTTCATTTGCATGAAATTACCTTTCAGTCACTATCAGCTTACTTCCCATAATGTATTCATCTTTGGGAGTGTTTGCTTTCCAGTTAATGCTGACCTATAACATCAGAATCTTCCTGTACATCAATTCTTCGTACACTCTGTCCTCTGCAATGTTAACACAAGTTGACATTTCGCTAGTTGCTTGAAAATGATCAATCCTTGGGTATACCTTGTGGACGACAAACATGAAAGTAGAATTTTCTTTTTTATCCATAATTTTACAAATCACAATTTATATGGAGCGGTCGATATTAATTGTGCTTATCATTTTGCATTGCAGATTTATTCAGACAAAATTAAGGGACGTTTGCTGTGTCCTAAAAAGAAAACTAAGCATTTTATTGCTGTTCGTGCTGTACAACGTCAAAAATCAATATTGACATTCCAGAAGTTCAGTAGAGCCGGAAGAGTTCATACTGAGAGTTCAGAAAAGTAAGCTGTAAATTATTGTTCTCCATCCCTCTTGAATATTTTGTTGTGGTGAATCTCGTTTGGTCAATAATAGCTGATGTCTTCTCACTGGATTATGATAGTGTCATTGTGACTTATGCCTGAGAAACGACTTGTCTGAAGAGAAAGTAACCATTAATCATTTGACTATTAATCATTTCAGGATCCTGACATGTCCGATCGAACCTTTGAGGGAGCAGCTGACAAAACGAGTGCGAATGGCAGTTGAAGGATGCAAAGATAAGTTGGACAGCAGGTCATCGTCTAGTTCACCAAAGATTGAGAAACCGTTCTGTGCTTCACTTCCATCCATTTCAAGTCCATCTCGAGTGCAGAGGCGGAAAACGCTATAATATAGAAGAATTGGAATGTTATGATCGATTGATCGATTTGGCTGTTGTTCTTAACTTTCTTAATAAATTTCCTCTGATGTTGTTAGGCATATGGGAAAGACCGCGAATTGATGATTTCATTATCAGGTCGATCGATGGAAAAGAGAAAAAGTAACGGGAGAAAGAATGGAAGACGGGAGCGGCTCTGAGGAGAATTGAGATCGGGGTGATCTTTGATACAGAGGACTGGAGTCAAGAGTACAAAATATTGCTTTTGGGATTAAAATTGCATTTGGAGACTCCATTGGCGAGCGTATTGCTGTGGTTAGATACAACTTTCTCGTAGCGCGCTGTTGTGTTCTGGGAAGTTGGTCTGGAATTGACTTAGTCTCGAGACTTTTGATAACTATCACCTTGTACGTCTCATCTGTCACTTCTTGGTTTTTTGTAGAGTATTACATACTATTGTTCCAATTGTTCCAAGGGAGAGGATTACAGACTCTCTTGAGATGTTAACCTAATCAATCTTCCTTTGTGTGGTCATTGGCTTAGGATTTTATTAGTTTCAATTGCGAGCCTTTATTCACGGACTACTGCATAGAACATTTCCAAACTGGTAACTTAATATGTGGTTTTCAAGTTCTTTAGAATCAGAAAAACAATTCAAGATGAGCTTTCGGGAAAAACCGCATTTCCAAGAGGCGGAAGAGCATATGCTAGAGCCGATGATAAGGCTGCCACTTGTTGATGCACTTCGGAGACTTTCATCTAAACAAGGTATTTGTTTGGTTCGGAAATGTGACATACTAACCATTATATGACTTGTAGAAAGTTCGTATCGGTATTGGTCAAGAATCCATTGGTTTTATATTAATCTCTACTCTCCAAAATTGGCTTGTTTTATAGATACACATTGTGGGTTCTTCGAGTCGCAATATTATCACTGCCTGGAAGCATTTGGACAAAAACTTGGCCGAAAGTATTGCGATTTGGAGCGTCGGGATTTCAATGAATGCATTACAAATTACAAACAAGTTTTTTTTTCTTGTTTCTAATAATCTTGTAAACTGATTTTGAAGTTGCAATTTGAAGTCTGGAAATTTCGAAAAAGGGTTTTTTTCGGTGATGTTCCCATCTGTTAGTTTTAAATTTGTAAAGCAATATAGTTATGTCCTTATTATCTTTAGTGTAACGTCATTTTTCAAATGTTGATCTGAGTCGCTTCAATTTAAATTCATTTCGCGAATTTCTCATTGCTTCTTTTTTAATTTTGAGAAAAAACGTGCTGAATGGATCAGATTGCAATACAGACTGCATTGGGATAGCAAAAAACATGGACCACTGCCGGAAGGTGCAAAAATTGGCGAATGTCTTCCAGATTATTTTTCACACAATCCTCCAGATGCTATTCATTAAAAAAAATTCCAACTATTTGGTATTGATCAGCCTTTTTTAAAAAGAAGTGATATAATTGCTTCAGCTGTATTTTCTATGCTGTGATTAGCTTTGAGTACATTAGACATTTCTTTAGTCCTTATGCATTCAGTTTATCTTCCTTCTGCATTCAGTTTATCTTCCTTCTTGTAATCTCTCAAATTTTGATTTTTCAGGACATGTTAGATATAAAAATATTCATTTTCTATGTAGATTTCCAGCAAATTTTTTCCCAAATCGTTTTGATTTTGATCATTCAATCTCAGAGACATTTTGCTTATTCTGTGAATACCATTTCCGACTCCAAATTGTTTCCTATTTGGAATCACATATATCATTTCTTTTTTTCAGTTATTTTGAGTATTTTGAGACTGCATCAGTTACACATTACAATGAATAAAGATATATAAGTATGACTTCATATCACATCAAAAATCGGTTTCATTGAAACCTGTTGTTTATCCAACTTTGTTGAAGCACTAATAACTTTTTAGTGGTTGATGGAAAGTATCGGAAGTTCTCGTATTTACGAGAGCGGTTTTACCAGTGTACAGGACTGTATTTATGTGTTAGTTTTTTTAGTATATTAGAGATGGATAATGAGCAAGATGGCAATTATTATGCATGCGAAATCTAATCGAGGATTGTGTGAGAAGTATGAAGTTATCCTTGAGGGTTGCAGCACGAAGTTTATTTTTGCAGAAATGGCGTCTGGGGAGATCTATGATTTAGAATGGTGCAGGCATAGACGAATACCAATTATTCATATAGTTCGGATGGTTCGAACTCGTGAACTTGGTGTTAGGAAACCAGGTATCGTGAATAAATTCTATACTAAATATAGATGTTGCCATTTGCAACTTTGGCAAGTACTGTAATCTTTTAGGGCAAACTGCGGAGTGGTTATACTTGAAACAGTTCATGCAGTTATGCGGATTTTATTTTTCATAACTTCAGGAACGCATTTCTTTTATGGCGCACGACAATTTTACCAGTGCTTTCATCCAAGTTATAGTGTGTCAGGAGTTGATAAAAAGAATTTGGTCATTAGAAGGTTGCTTTATTAATTGTTTTGGAGCGAAGTGGTACAATCAGAGATGTTTTTTGATGTTGTTATAATGAATTGAATTGTAATTTGCTGCAATAAATCAATTGTTTTAATTAGAAAACTATTGGAAATATTAAGATTCTCCTAGAAAGCAAAAAGAAAGACGGAAGAAAACTCTAAGATTTCAGTTCTTCTCAGTTCTTCCTTCAATTTGTATTGTGTGGTGCATAATTAGTTCCAGAAAAATCAAAAACGTTGAAAAGTATTCCTTACAGATTCTCACCGGATGGACGTAGTCTCGTCTGTTTTTCTTCAAATTGTCATGATTTGTATGTTCATGATTATCGTAGTTTTACAGATGCTTACAACAAGCAGCCAGAAACTATGTTTGAGGTGGAATTTGTATTTCCGTAAATCATCAAGTATTATCTCTAAGTAGTCATTTCACGTTGTTACCTAATTTTGCACTAGAAATATGCAAAAATCTTCGTTTTCCGTATCTAATATTTAGATAAAAAACATGTAAAACTTTTAATAAATCATATTTGGACAATTTAACGTAGTCATTTCCAGAATGTTCTTTACTCACTTAATTGATTCATTCTCAATTCTTTTTTCTTTAGTTTATTTTAGTATTGTTTAATGTTGTTTAACATATCGTTATTTCGCTTGCTTTGTCTCGATCTTTTATAAACATATATTTCATTTCTTCAGGACGTTTTTGTGGAGCGTTTTGTTATAAATCTGATAACTGATGAAGAAGAAGGAGCTGTTTTAAACAAAGAATTCGTTTTTTTTACAGAGGATTGTCGTTATCTACTGGGTTTGCATTTAACAAAAATTAATTGTTTTCATGTTTCAAAGGACAAAAGATTCCTGATCACGCACTTTTTTCTGCTTATAGAGTTGAATTTTGGGGATGTCGTTTTAGTATGTATGTATATGGTCATGAGAGCGATCTATGAAGGTTATAAAATCTCGTGGCAAAAAATATCTTCGTGGAATATGTTTTCTATTTTACAGTTTTTCAGTTCTTAGTAAAACTGGAGAGCAAACACTAACTCGAACAGGAATTATTTCAGTACTAATGGCATGCGCGACGTGCTTTATTTGCAGTTGCTGCGGAATATCCTACATCGGAAAATGCTCTAAGATGGGATGATGTTTACCAAAATAACGAGTCACTTCCTCCAGTTTCAGTGCAGGCACTCATAAATTATATCATTTATTGCATCGACATGAATGTTAGGTTTCTCGGAAACTTCATACACTTTTTCATTTCTTTAGCGTGATACATAAAAAGGAAAAACTTCGTATAAATTTTGCAGAAATAATATTCCCATCTCTTAGTAGGAATAAGTTATTTTGATTCATGAATGTATTGGAAGCAAGTTGACGACGAAGTAATAGTAGAACTGCTAATTTTTCTGAAACATTGATTTTCTAGACAGGTGATATCTGTGACAAATATTATCTGGATGCCGACCGTCTTTGGATATCTCGCGGCGTAACTCTGATGGGATACCTCCTTGCTATTCTTTCATTTCAACATCAAACGATTCATTTTTTACATATTAGTGAAGATACCGGCTATTTCACCCTACTTGGCCATGTGGGACGGTCAGTTTTGTTCCTTTGATCCTGAATTGTATTTGTTTCGAAATTCTCTTGTTCAAATAAATTATCAGAAATGAAGTTTGATAAATCGTAAGATGTAATACAAAGAACTACTTAGGTTGCTGAGCTTTCCGTTTCATTCTCCAAAGCTTCAGTTCTATTAGAGAAAAGTATTTCTAAGTACAGTGTGATGCAAAAGTAAGAGCTAGCAAGCCAACTATTTTGGGTAACAACGTATTTTATTTATTTCAAAACTTTCTTTACCTTCGTGTATCGCATGTATATATAC